GTAACGTTTTCAGTTGTTTATTTGAATACGTCAAAATTCTAAGGCAATAAGAATATATATTTAGAAATATCAAGAACTTCTTAGTCCTCTAAATAAACGCAGTTTCAGAAGACAAATAAACCTAAAGCATTGTTTTAAATCTGACATATTTTATTAAGTTGTTAAAATAGACACAGCCTTGAAAGCTGAAGTTTAATGCTCGAGAAAGATATGGAAGTTTGAATAGATTCCAATAACCATAAAAGGCAAAAACTATAAAAATCATCTGTCCTTTTAAAATGGTGTTACATTTTAATAATGAATTTGTATAACGAGTTTGAAGTAGACAATTCCCAAAGTAAATAGGCTTTAACGAAAACGATAACCAAAGCCAACGAGACTGTCATGAGAGAAGCTTTACTTTCTCTTTGAAAAGTGAATATAAAAGTAGAAAATCGTCCTTCATAATCAGATATCTTATTATTGATATGAAACAATTAACTACTCATTAGCAGAATTTTTAACCCGAAGATTGAATTGCCATTTAACCATAAACAAACAGATTAAGCAAAATCGTAAAATGTAACAAACAATAACTAAAATACCCTTTCTGAGAATAATGAATATAAAACTCAAAGTACATTATGGAGTGAAAGGAAACACCGTAATATCAATCTTATTTATGTATCAAATGTTTGATATCCTCGATCTCTTGACATCTTATATGACAGCATTCATCGAACAACCTGTCACATACTATAAACAGACATGTCTATCATTTGTCGCAAAGGCACACCAATATATCTTTAGCATAGCTCGGGGAATTTTATAGTGTTGTATATAAGGAAATATAGTATTTTTCAGACAATATTTGGTGCTATATGGTCCCTTTCTTCTAGACAAATATGACAAATATGAATATAACCGACACGGTAATCGCTTTAACAAAACACATTTGTAGATTTGATGCATCGATAACTCTTAAAGAGTGACATAAGTATTACAGTTTTCAATAATGTCATTATTTACGCGCACATTATGCTTTCCCTAAAAAATCATGCTTTATAAAAACAGATCGAAATAACAGTACCTTTAAACAATTTTAAAGACGCATTGATATAATTTATTTTGATAGAGCAGAAATAAAATATTCATGTTTTTCAGTTTTATTTTTTCAAACACATTAAACTGCATAGCATGGCGTTAAAAATATGAGACCAAAGATCAACAAGTCAAAAAGGCATTCTTTGAACGAAAACCCAGCAACACGTCCGGGACCACTAGAAATGATCACAGTGAAACACTTAATGTACATAACCTTTAGCGTGACTTAACCAACATACCAATGCAACAGTGCCGATCAAGATCAGCTGGAACACCCATTTGAATAAACGTGTTAAACACCCTAATATGAAAGTAAAAATAAGGTTTCCTTCATTTTGAATGAGTGAAGTTAATAATGAAACACTGACGTATGAAGAGACGCAGTATTGTAATCATAGCTGTAAGAATTCGAACCAAGACTAAGGTGTAAAGGTGTTAAACTCTAAACCAAGAGCTCGTTTGTTCGAACCTTGCTCGGATCACGAATTTGTTTCCTAATTTGACACCAGAAGTTGCAAGTTCCACGAAGAGTCGAGCTTCATCCATCGACGTGTATTGAGTATTTGACAACAATAATTTCCACAGATATGTTGAAAAACGTCAGTGTTGCTATTGCAACTGAGAATTTTGCATGATACAATTTCAGCTTTAAAATTACTTTAGATATTCAAATTAGTTTTAATTGTTACAACTAACTCCAGCCTCGGCGGGATAACCAATTTCGAACGGTGCTATTTCAATATAATGGTTATGTAAAAAAGCAACTATCTACAACCCACTACCCACAGCCAATCGACAATTTATTGATTCAAGAATATTCGGAATTGACATTTTCGTGTATGTATTAAGTAGTTTCCTGACATGTTTATTAGAAACTGTATGTTCATCACAGACAAAAACTAGATCTGCCAAATAACAAACAGATAAATGTGTCTATGTTTACCCTTCACGAATGCTTCGAACAATAGCAAGTAAGATAGTACTATTTAGTACTGAAGATGGAAATGCTACAGTGCATTATAGTATTTGCACAAGATAGCTTGATATCATGTGCAATAAATAATGTTAAGTAAGGCGTAGGCGGTGCCAGGAAGCATGGATGGCAGCTTGCACCTACCACTACCGTTCATGGACAGGCTCTATCAAACCGAGCACGCACCGGAAAAGTAAAGTTTGGTGCGTCTTTGTTTTTTTCTGTCACATTGATGACAAATTGATATGCAATAGACTGCTTCTAACAATGTATGTTTTTCTCTCATAGATTGTTTTGGTTTGGTTATTGCAGGATTATAACACATTTTGATTAACGCATCAATCAAATGAGCGGGTTATTGACAGCAGGATATAAGATCTTAACATTTTTCTTATTTAATATTAATATTTTTATATAAAAAATACAATCAAATTCTGAAACCTCTATTGATTTACAATAAATATGTACAAAATTAATGTATATATTTTTTGAAAAATGAAATATAACATTTCAATCGAGTTTATTCTCAAAAAATCATTATTGTCCCATTTTCTTTAAGACACAGGTTTTCCAGTAGACAATTCACGTCAATAACACGTTCTTTTATATCATATGGGAGTCGTTTATATCAACCATTATTTACCGAGGTTTGATTGCAAGAGACCTTCAAGAAGAAAGTTGTTCCCATTTATTGACTGCCAGCGCAATGAAGGACACACTGTTTTCTTTCCCATGATAACATTTCCGTACATAAGGACCGTCAACGATTTTCTTTTCTAGACTAATTTGTCTCACCACAAACATGAATATAACTTTGTTTTCGATGTGACCACTTGTCTGTGTATATTTAATAATATATATATTTCCATAACAAAAACCTACAATTGTTTTAGTTCTTCAATGGGTAGTAGTTAACAAATCACTTTACATACGTCGAAAACAGTATTTGTCAAACTAAATTATTATTCTTATTAGTCATGCATACATAAAATACGTTAAACATTAACTTGACTTGCATAAGTTGCTTTACTAAAAATCGGTATAAATAAGATATTTACGCATAAAAAACACAGACAACTATTCATTTTCTCATCAATCTTTAAATCAACAAATTCAGATATACATATCAATGATATGACAATTTAGAATGATAAATAGGTAAATAACTAACATTGTTATGTGAAGTAAATGAAGATATGCTCGTTAAGATTAACTTCAAGAGGATTTCTTGATATCAACACAAAGGCTAAAATAATTGAAAAGAGATGGATTTCAATATTAATGTAATGAATTGCGTTTTGTCTAGTTTTCTATGATTTCGTTTTTTGTCATGTGGAATAAATGTAAGCCTTGCACAACTCAACAAGGCATATAATTATTGTGAGCAGGCTTTGCAAAAAACAATAATTTGTATATTAAATATTGTCAAACTAGACAACAATAGAATACTTGGTACAATATATTTCTATAAACAAACTGGTTCACAGTGATATACTGTATACAATATAAACACAACTTAAGTAAAACACGATGTTTTAAATAACAAGAATTGGTGTTTTTTATTCAAACAATGGTCCAGGGAAAACACCAAGACACCAAGACTATTTTAAGTCTCCTTTGGAAAAATAAAATTATGCAAACATGTGACAATTATAAAAGCGAATGCGTTCAGGACGTTTAAAATTGTTAAGAAATAAATCACGTATTTTATTGTTTTATTTTTATTACTTTTTATCACGTGAAACACTGTGTATATCAATTATAGATAATAAATGACTGCTAAATATATTAAATCCCCTTATTTATAATTCAAATGCTGTAAAATAAAAAAAAAATCAAATCTGAATAATTATATGTTTATATTAAATTTAATACTTATTTACCTTACCATGGATAATCAAATTGTTTAAATGTCCAGATCAAATAAACCTATCATGAAAAGTTGCCTCACAAAACATATTTTTGTTTTTAAACTGAATTCTCAAGTCATTGATCTGTCAAGCAGAATAGTGTGCATTTCTATAAATCGAAAATCTGCTATATTTCCGTTTCAGACAATTTGTGTGACGCCACTGAACTGCAATTGGAAAATATAATAGATTTCATTTCTAACTCGTTTTCAGTCCTATAGATAAAATCGAACATCCGATAAAACTGATACCGTAAATGTATTCGCTAAAAGATTGGTTTTTACTTCTCAGAAACACTAAACAATAAGCAGCATTGGATCAAAGTATACGAAATTGTATTGCAATTTCAAAACATTCCATATAAACACTTGATGTTCTAATTTAGAAAATCTAGTTGTTGGTTTGGAAGTATTGGTGGTTTTTATTCAAACAATAGTCCAGAGAAAACGTGTCTGGAAATAAATTTGAGACATCAGACACCGTGATTATTTTAAAGCCCCCTTAGAGAAAATTCTTTCAGAAAATATAATAATGTCCGCAGAAAATAATTATTTTGTAGTAGTTTATGTATATCTAGAGAACACTGAATAGCAGATGAAAATTATGTTCAATGTTTTCTTTGTGTTGTGTAAACGATTCAAATATTGAGCATTGACGTATACTTCATGAATTATTTAATTATTATATAGCAATCAGTGTGCTGAACAGGGCGTAACACATTGCATCTGTTTAATTTTATATCAAAATATATTGTAAAATAAAATGTTCAATGCCACAAAAATAGCCCACTACTTTTGAAAGAAAGAAAAAAAGAAAGAACACGCTTATTAAACAAAAAAGATTTAAAACATGTTTGATGCATTTATATCAACTTCTTTAAAAATAATTGTTCAACTTTTTGAAGGAATAACAGTTTATTTTGAATGACAGTTGTATAGAAACTGAATATTTATTCTTCCACATAAAAGTCAAATATTTTTTTAAAGAATTTTAGAGGAAATTGTATATATCAACAGTATTAAATGATAACTTACCATCCGCAATATAATGATGTACTTTGAACAATGAATTACATGAAGAAAAAAAATAGCAACAAAAAAGACACTAAAAATGTAAATGTATTCTAAACGTCTGAAATCTTTTAAAAATCTATGACTGAAATACATAATGTTGATATTTATTCCGTTCGGGTAACACTTTATCCAAATAAGCATTCGTACTGTCCGTTTAGGATAACTATTTAGTGTCGCAGCGGAAAAATCCACTATTACGGTGAAAAACGGTTATCATGTAGTATTTATTATCTGTAGGCACGCAGGCTTGCTTCCGATATAAATTAAAATATCGATAAATTAATCAACTGTAAGCGTAACGCAGTTGGTAACGTTATCAGTTAATATTTTAGTAAAATATCAATGCAAGACTGTTTCGGATTGTACTTTTTTTCTCGAAAATAATTTCTATATATAAACAATCAAATACGAATATGTAATATTTTTCTTGACATTAAGTGTTGTAATAATTTCTCATTTCACATTTTTGTATCTAGCAATTTTTTACAACCTTATCCTGAATACTAAACGGAATGAATACATGTATACAAACTGTTTCAACAATATTTCAGTTGGCACGAAATACTCATGCACTGCACAAGTATTATGACTACTGCATACTTCACACTATACAGGTTAAAACTATTATTACCGGTATATTTAAATTATTAGATATTATAAAAAAATATTTTTTATCATTCATTTGCATCTTCAGTAAAATTGAAAAAAGGAAAAAGAAAAAAAGGAAAACAGTTAAACAACTTGTGAGGCTCGAACTCGTGATTTTTTTGAATATTTTTATTGCATCTCAATGACTTTACAAACTATGCAATCAAGACAATTAAAATTCTTTATTTTATGCTTTTCAGTGGATTACTGATTTATCCGTGAAAATTATATTTGGTAATTTCACAGTGAAAATTATCAAAATATAATTTCACTCTTTTCAATGACGAAACTACTTTTTTAAGATTTTCCCCATGTGGTACCTCAATTTTATTTTTGCTGACAATTCTGACAATGTCAGTCTGTTTAAAGAAAAAGCAAAACTGAAATTGATAAATAACTTAAATGTCAAAAGTAATAAAAAGAAGAAAACTTGCTTCTATTCATTCAAATTCATGAAATTCCAATCACCAAATTTCGTTTTTTTGTTTCATTTTGACAGTCTCAAAAATACATTCCTTCCCCATGCAAAACTGCTCTTGATGACATTTGGGCATATTAAAGTATCCTACGAGCAATAACTACCGTATGCTTTATGAAAAATTGAAAGCATTGACAGCCATAACTCGAAGAATAAGTTAAATCAACCCAGCGTTCTTGAGCAGGTTTCCAAGTTTTCCATTTTCCTAGCTCCTTTTCTGAATGTTTTCACATCTGTCAACACTTATTTTTTGTCTGTTACAATCCTCAAATAAGTTTTCTTTCTTTTAAAAGTGTGTATGACTAACAAATCCAAATTATATCCCTCTGAATCTTACACAATTATTTTCCTCCCATGAAATACACAACTTTAAAAAATGGCTGCCGCTTACAATTTACAAAGCCAGGTCTAATATAAATTCGCACTAAGTAACAGAAATATGAATGGATGGTTGGACTTTTTCTCCTACAAGAATTGTTTGTTTTTATTATCAAAACAAGCGATCATTCATATTTTTTTAATAAAAATTAATTAATATCACCGTCATTTAATGTTGATTGGCGGACTTATTTTTCAGCTCAAGACTTCTTTTTTTTAATGACAAATCCCGAATAAATGGGGCTCTCAATGGGGGAAACAGTTTTAATATTAACGTTAAAATTATAGAAATTTCGTTTTAACTTGTTTTTAAGCATAAAATAAAAAGAAAATTTGTCTGTTTGTTGTGAAGATGTAATTTTATTTCATCTCGTGAACTTTAAAAACAGTATTCTCACTCGTGGCTTCGCCACTCGTGAGAATACTGTTTTTAAAGCCCACTCGATGAAATAAAATTTCATCTTACACACAAACAAACAAATATCCTCTATATAGTTTATCTAGTACTATATTCTCTATAAAACCCTGTTTTACCTATTCAGACAAAGATTGTAAACTTATGCAAAGTCACTCTCACATTATTATAGCGGCACAGTACCATCGTATTGCATTATTATATTTTTTTCAGGTTGACATTAATTTTGAAGAGTTGTTACCAAGAAATCCAAAACAACAGTTTACGCACTATCCATTTGTGTTGAGAAACATAAAAGTGCATATCAAACACTTAAATTTATTATTTAGAGTACATAGCTCTCTTAAAACCAGTATATATAGGTTATATACGAAACCTGTCAAGACATATTGCGTGATGATCGATCACAAATTATATCAAAATGAGACGACTAATCTTATCAGGCAATTTTCCTGCAATTTATTGGATTTGAAATAATAAGCTACATGTTACGTAAGAACTTAGAGCACCTTTCCATATAGAAGTTATATCTTTTACACATAAAATGCAAGCTGTGATATATACAATAGAGAATGAACTGAACTGCAATTAAATAGATTATAACTAAATGTTTTAAAGGTATGTTTCTAAAGGTATTTTTAGATCACTTTTATTATTTGTTAAATACCAGTTCAAATAGTTCATTTGGGTTAAATAAAGAGATACAGGTGTATTACAATAACGTATAGCTTAATTGAGAAGCTAATCTAATCTATTTTAAATGTTTTGATTCTGATTTGTTTGTCTGTTTGTTTTGCTTTTTTCTTTATTTACTTCATTTTTTGTATACTGATTTAAAAATAATTATGGTCAAATTTCAGCGGTCGACCCACCAACCGGCTTTTCTTCTTACAATTTTAATTTGCTTATCCATAAATGTAATAATTTGCTTGAAGAATGTATTGAAAGGTTGAAATAATTTTGTAAATCAATCTTAAATGTTTAGAAAGACCTCTATAAGCAAACATTAGTGAAACATTATGCTATTTTAATGAAAATGACTTATTTGTAACGTTTCCATTTAACATGCAGTAATACATACTTTTTTGTTCAATTTTGCAAACTGGTTTTAATCATTTATCCTTTTATTATTTGCGTTGAATGACTCTGTTTTAACAAGGGAAATATACAAATGTATGTAATAGAATAAACGCTTTCATGATCCTAGGAATATTTATCATTGTGACTATTTCCAGAAGCGATAAATATGTTTAAAGAGATTTTTTTGACCACACAAAGGAATGAAATATTTCAATTTTCACTAAAGTCACATAGAATAAATTTGTCATTTTGGAATATTTCCCTTATTGCATAAAATAACTCCTGCTAGTATTCGCTTGAAATGAGTTGTCTGGATTAACTGCTAGGTAAGATTTAAAATCTGTTATTGCTTACTCGTTCAGTATTTAAAATCGTATATCCGATAATATATCCAACGGAATAGCGGCTCTATTGCGTAAATTTTTTCACATTTTGAATAGAAGAACGCATCGTCAAAGGAAAAATACAAGTTCAAGTTGGCAATGGAAAACATTTGCATTGTCGATCTGCAATATATTGTGTTTGTTTTCTGTGTTTTATTTTTGTTGTTGTTGTTTTTTCTTTTCTATCTAGAAAATTGAAAAAAAAATGAAATTGGCTGCTTTGAAATATGAATGTTTTGTTTTTCAAACAATAGTCCTGGGAAAATGGAGAAAATAGCCTGGAAACAAATATCATACATCAGACACGATAATAATTTAAGTCTTTTTTTACTTTCAACTATTTCAGACTATTTCAGAAAATAAAAATGTCCGAAAGAAGTAGTTTATCTGAAAAAATATGAATAGCAGACGAACATTATTTTAAACTTGAGTGTTTTTGTTTATATCTTGTTATTTATTCAAATGTTTGGCAATATTCAAATGATATTATATACAACAATGCTTAAACATGCAGCGTTTAAACACGCTGATGATGATGATGGTGAATCAAACAGTAATCAAATCACTAATCTCAGACGTATTTTAAGTTACAGTTAGTCCGAAAGATTCTTCTTATTGAAATTTGATGTTTTATAATCGAACTCAGATATTGTATACGTTCAAAAAACATAATGCAGTCTTAAATCAGAGTGTTGGTATCTGCAAACAAAAGCAAAACAAACAAGAACCGGTTGAACCGGGTGATGCTCCCCGAGATGGTTTTGGACACAAGAAAGTATAAATAAATGAACAAAGGACAAAAACTCCAAAATTAGGCAAGGCATAGTTATGTTTTTTGCAATGCACTTCTATTCAATGAGATCTATCTATCTATACATATTCGTGATGATATCTCTTATAGTTTCAGAGTTATGTCCCGGGTAAAATTCAAAAAGAAAATATGAACAAAGGGCAATAACTCCAAAATTAGACAAGGCTGTGTTAAGGTTCTTTAGCATTGCAGTTCTATCCAATGATATCTATCTACCTACAACGTTGCATGTCGATATCTCTAATAGTTTTAGAGTTATGTCCCGGACAAAAGCCAAAAAGTAAAAATAAACAAAGTGCAATAACTTCACAATATGGCAAGGCAGAGTTATGATTCTTTAATACTGCAATTCTACCCAATAAGACCTATCTGCCTACAAAGTTTCATGTTGATATCTCTTATAATTTTAGAGTAATGTCCCGGACAATGTCCAAGTGTAAAAATAAACAAAGGGCAATAATTCAAAAATTAGCAAAGCAAGAGTTACATTTCTTGTGCACTGCACACCTACTTAATGAAAGATATTTACCTAAAAAGTTTCATGTTGATACCTCTTATAGTTTAAAAGTTCAAAGTATAAAAATATACAAAGGGCAATAATTCAAAAATTAGGCAAGGCAGAGTTACGGTTCTTTTGCACTGCACACCTACTCAATGAGATCTATCTACCTACAAAGTTTCCTGTTGATTGTTGTTACAAAGTTATGTTCCGGACAAGAAAAGCGGACGGACGGACAAGGCGGCGACTATATGCTCCCTCGATATTTTTCGGGGAGCATAAAAAGAAAATAAAAAATAAATAAATAAATAAAGATGTTTAAGGATTCACATATCCATAGAGAATGAATGCTTGTGCAGGCTTAATGCAATAGAATCTTAAAATTATGAGAGTGTATTTTCATTTTTTTGTTGTTGTTTTTTTTTAAGATACATTTTTCTTTTAAATGTTTATTTTACTGTAGAAACTGAAA